CCCCCCCCCCCCCCCCCCCCCCCCCGAAGCGTAGTCTGACGATCACACAGACAGCGCAGCAAAATGCCCTCTCTCGAAGTTTGGGTGCACGCTTCATATGCACGGTACGCGCGACGCCGCTGACGTGTTGTCTGCGATGAACCGAACACGCTTCGGCTTGCGGAGGTGTTCGTCGTCGTCGTCTTGAGTGTCTCCCCGACAGCTGTAGCCTACCGCAGCACGTTCCACCCGCTGTTCCTTCAGGTTCGCTTGCATTTCTTTGGTTTAAGTTTGTGCGTAGTACAGCATTGCCTGTTTGTTGTCGCCAGCGCACTTTCCCCAGCTCTACTTTTTTCGGGACTCAAAGTTCGAAGGCAAGATTTCAGTACAAGATGCGGGTACCAAGAAGCCTCCCTTTAATGGAAACCCAGCCAAGTATCGCCCCTCCCGAGGTGACCCCGCTGGTTATTGAAGACTTTCTGTCCACTCGATCCTGTGTTGCCGCTGCTGCTGCTGCTGCTGCTGGTGCGTTTTGCACTACGGAACAACGGTGCGGCGCAATCGTGTCGTGCCTGGCGCCCTCCAGGACTTGGAAAAATCTAAGGAGGCTCTCAAGGAGCTAATGGAAGAGATTCATGTGAGACCATGGGTTTGCTAGAGATGCATCGGTGGCCCTGTCGTGGATTATGCTTCACGGCCCTCCTCCTTTTGGTACTCAACTTCTGTCTTGTCTATCCCTGGATTTTTTTTTTGGTTATGTACACGGTGATCGAGTAGTTCGAAGGTTAAGGTTTAATTTTCTTGGTTGGGCCTGCCGTGAGAACCAGCGGATTCCGCGCTGTATGTGTTCTGCCATGAACCAGCAGCTCTACAGTGCTTACTTCTTTCGGACCTGCTGCAGTATAGCAGCTGAGTCTGTCAAAGAGAGGGTCCCTCAAGGAACCGCGGCATGTGCTACGGTTCTCGAATCCATAGACTGGACGAGGCGTTCTTCCCTCTGCAGCACCGAACTCTCCTCGCCTTCCATGTTCCCTCGTCCTCCGATGTTCTCTTTTACTTTCATCGCACGGTGGGCCAAAGATGATCGAAAAGTTCTTGCGCTTTTGTGCCAACGGGTGGGACACTTCGCATCGACCCCCCGTGACTCGAAATTTTGCTCTCTTGACCCACCCTCCCGGCCCCTCCACGCGCGTAAAACACCTCCGCCCGCAATGAAAACACGCCTTTTTTTTCAGGAAAACCGAGACGAGCTCAAGTCGGCAGCCCAGGAGAAGCTGGACTTGATACGGGTCTCTCTGTCGGAATTTTCCACGGGATACCGACAAGCTCGGTGAGACAGCAATAACAATAGTACTTAAGCACCAAAGAAAGGTTTATTTTGTTTGCACCAGTTAGACCTTATCTGTATATATTTTTGCAGCGTACAGTCTTTTGTGGCCCCGGCGGGAATGCGTTTCCGACGTTTGTTCGCTCTTCGTTGTTCTCCACTTGAAACACTGTTCCGATCTCTGCTCAATACCTTCGACATCCGTATACTACTGCTCCAGCTGACGCGGACGCCGTCGGTGCTTACAGACTAACTGCCCAAAGGAGGGTACACCTTCCTAGTGGTGCGGTATGTTTTCTCTTGAATTCACTAGGCTGCGGTTCTCTATTGTACACGTGGCAAGAAGCGTACGCCCTAGCGATCGACTCGTTGGTAGATACGGGCCGTTGTCCCCGAGTTTGTTGCCGAACAGACTGACTGAGCCTCGAGCTATTCGAGGAGCCCCGCGGGCAGGCGGCCGGAGTATCGGCGACAATCGCTGCTGGGTTGTGGTGCATGCCGACGGTAGCGTGGTACCACTCTGCTTGGAAAAATGGGGGCCATTTGTGGAGATGATGAAGAAGGGCAATCTCCCCAACGTCTATCGCGGACGCCTCCTTTCACACATTGGGGTAGGCACGTTTGCATCCCAACGGTCCTTTTATTTTCGAACTGAAAGTGGTACGGTATCAAGGTTGGCGCGCTCATGACGACGAAGCGCTACCCGGGTTTCCACGAAGCGCTACCGGATTTCCACGAACCTTTACCCGGGTTTCCAGGAGGGGCTACCCGGGTTTCCTGGAAGATTTACCCGGGTTTCCGTTTTTTCATGGGGATGATGGACCCCCCACCCCCCCCCCAGTTTGTTCCGCAGGGGGGACGCACGGTTCGACGGACGTCCCCCCCCCCCCCCCTGTGTCCCCTGACCCATGTTCCTGAACACGCTTTCGCTCGGCAGTGACGAGGAAATCAAGCGCGTGATGGCGATGGACAAGAGCATGCTGCAGAGCTTCCTGAGCGAGAGAGCCGGGGAGGTGAAGCACGCCACCTCCCTCATCGCGGACGCCATCCTCGAGAAAGACGGCGGCGCCGGTGGCAGCAGCAGCAGGGAAGAAGGCGGACGGAGCTCCCCCGCACTGCGCAGCGCCCCTGCTCCTCCGAGCATCAACAACGCCGCCCCCGATGCATCATCGGTGGCGAGGCCACGGGAGCAGCCAGGGACGGTGTCGTCGACGACAGCGGCAAGCGACGCGGAATCCCATCCCAGCAACGACCCGGGTCACGCCGACCTCGACGGCGGGGCGACACGGTTCTTGTCCCCGCGAGCCCGCCGGGCGGTGGACGACGTTCTCCGAGACCCGGACGTGGAGCGGCTGGCGGGACGAGCGAAGGGCTTCGCGAGGGAGAGACTCCTGAAAGCGGAG